AAGCTGGGATGAGACGTCACAATTTATTATATAAAAAATATTAAATCAATCTACAAAATTTTATATTAATTTTATGATATATAAGAGTACAAATAGTTATTCACAATAATCCAATAAAAAAAATCTCAATTATAAATATCGGTCCATATAATACAAAAAATATATATAAAAGGTCTAAATGAACCTATAAAGATAATATAATTTATATATAGTTGGTAGGCAATTAAATTGTTTTAGAAAAATATTTTTTATTTATTTTTTTATTTGTTTATGGTAGTTAAAATCCAATAAAATCCATTTTCTTATATATCATCCTAACTGGAAATGTGCCATTTTTAAATTTGTTTCAATGATTTAAAATTTTATTTTGATAGCATTATAGGGTAAATAAGTAATTTTCTCAATCATAAGAATTTATCTGTTATGTTCAAATAGGCGAATGTAATCTATGACTGTATATAGTTGACTAAATTTTTTTAGATATGCTCAACTACTTTCTTAAAGAAAAAATCCAAATTGGAAAAATTATAAATTAGTTACTTAAATGAACAATATTACTTTCTCATTTTATTGGCCGATCAAAAAACATAAAAGTCTCGACCCTTATCTCAAAGTCGTGCAAGTATCCTTTGTATGTAAGAAACATTATATAATAATCTCTTTCACTTCATTTTTTCTTCACAACAACAAAACAACAGAACTCTTAGGATCAACCATAGTTTTCATCTCTAACAGTGAGAGTGAAGATAATAGAAACAAGAAGAAACCTCAAGTGTCTTACACAAAGCTTCTACCTATTGTCGAAATACCTTTGATTCATTTCTTCCATATCTACAAGACATGAATATTCGGGTAATTAAGCTTTTAAACGCTAGATCAATTTTATTCTGAATATATTTGATTATTCTTATTATTTCTTTTTATTATTTTAAGTTAACTAATTACTCAGTTTTTATTTTATTCCTTTTAGATTCTAAAGAATAAGTATATTAAAAATTTAAATCTGTATAGCTTTTCATTCATAAAAGGGATTTCGTCATAGAGTATTTCAATCTATTAGATATTTTCAATCAACTCCCTTTATAGCCCTAGATTTGTCTTCTTTTTTATTTTTCTTTTACTCTTAGAGGTAAAATTAAGTAGGCATGATTATATGTTTCTAAACATATGTTTTTACCTTCGTGTGTACTAGTATGCATGAATGATATATTCATACATGTTTGTGTACATCGTGTGCGTATTTGTTGAAAGTACCAAATTTAAAATCTAACTTTACAATTGACACATTAATGAGTTATCATATTTATTAATCCTTCAATGTTTTCTTTTAATTTAGTCAATAAAAGAAAGGGAATTGTATATGAACATAGCCATTAAAGATTTTATTAATAATTAACCAACATGATTATAAATAAGTATAGTTTAATAAACAGTGGTATCTTAGTTAATAGTTTTTTCATGTGAATTACTTAAAAGTATTGAGATGTTGGTAGGTAATTTCATTCTATATATTTTGATCTATATTTCATTATCAACTTCTTTAGATTTGTATTTATTTATTTATTTATAATTTTATCTTATCTTATGAGCTAATTGAGGTTTCTATATAATGACTTTAATGATTATTTCTTATATGTTGACCCATGCATCATTTTTTTTATTTTCCTAATTTGTGTTCATATCTGTTTGTATGTGGACGAGTGTAAATTTAATTATTTTATTGTGTTATTATATATTAGTACATACATACTAGGTTTTCAAAAATCAAAAAGTTTATTATTTTTAGATTTTTTAACCTGACTCACTAATCCTTAGTGAATACCCACCTAATTACCCCATTCAATAAGATGTAATTAGAGATTGCTATCACTACCCTAGACATCTCAAGATACATAGTTTTTTTTTCGTAGATAATTCTTTTATTATCATACAATACCACTATACTCTTTTGATATATATCTAATGTGAGATCATTATCGAGACCCTAAAACACTATATGTATTATATATATACTTCCTTTATTACCTTATTAATCCCTAATTAATTAAAAATTGCCAAAATTCAAAATCAATGAATTGGATAAAGGAACGATTCATGAATTTTTAGAAAATTTATCCAATATAAAGATTTCTTTAAGAAAGCTTATTTACTTTTATTTCAATGCTTAGCATCTCTCCTAAATAGAATGTGAGTGAAAACTATCTATATCTAGTAGTTCCATCATATTTTAATATTTGAATAATACTTTATATTTCTTGTTCACTAAATTATTTTTTCAATAAATATTATTTTATAAACTGACAATTCTGTAAATGCAAAATCATTATCAAAATTTTTATTTGTAGAGGTATATTAATTTTTAACTAATAAAATATTTTCAAGTATTATTGTAGGCACCATTTATGATTTAATTTATTTGGTAAACATTAACTTTTTAAATTTAGTCATTTATTGACATAATATATAAAGAGTTTTAGTTATTATCCTTTATTTTTTTTTTTTGTTATTCAAAAAATTGTATAGAATTCTTGCTTCATAAATACTAATTTAAAGCCTTGTCTTAAATATGTACTCACTTGTATCTACATGTATGCATTCATTATGTGAATTTTATTTCAAAATTGTATATGTATTATTCAATTATCTAATCTGTATAAAATAATTACCTTTTGTTACATAGTGAATGGACAAATATCTTCAACAATCAAATGTCAGAAGTAGAAATGAAATATTACAATATCCGAAAGCAAATTCAATAGTAGGCTCATCAAACAATGTACAGAATCTCTTAAGAAGAAATTCAGGTAATTCTTCTTCTTGTCTTTGGATTATATTCATATAAGTTATAAGAAGATACAATACGTTAATGCTTATCTAACTGACTTCTACTCTTGATCTATTTTAATAGATAGAGTTACACAAGTAAAATTATTTTAAAAATATAATTGAAAGCACATAAATTCTTTTAAATTATTGATCTTTGCGTATATTAGGCTTAGGAAAGAAAAAGTATTGCTAAAGAATTACCCTAGATCTAGAGAAAAAAAATATATAAGGCACTATCTCAAACTGTAAACTTTAAACCATAAGATTGAAAAAAAATAGACATTAGATCCCGTATCATAGTGTCTCTTTTCTTGGAAAACTTACTAGTAGGAGAACAATTAACCAATTTAAATAGAGAAATAAAGGCAACCAATGCATAATTTAACAAATTCATTTTAAGCAAATCTAATCCTTTCTTATATGGATTCTAGGACTGGTTAATTGATTGAAAAGTTTTCTAAAAGTAAATTTTAAAAAGGATTTCGCTAGACCTTTTCCTTTAACAATCAATTCAACTAGCTCATTTGTTATTGGAAGAGAATTCAAAAGTTTTATGTTATTCTTAAATGCAAACTAGGTGTGATGTCCCGATGCCAAATAAGGCACTAATGTCCAATAGAGCAGACATAAAAGATAAAATAAACATGGCAACGGAATTTTACATCCCAACACAAAATATAAAAGTTGTACACTGAGCCATTAGGCTATCTACACATATATATAATTCAAAAGAGATAACCTATACAAAATATACTAGGCTCCAAAGTGTTTAAACAAAATATACAAGTCTGCTCCCACAAACAATCCTCCTGGAAAGAATCTAAGCAGGGGTCCTCAACAACTCATCAGAATTTGCACTTGTGGGGGTGTTGGATCTAGGTGAATTCTAATACTTAGTAAGATATTTAATATTAAAGACATACAAACATGCTTTGAAAATAGTTCCTTAATGTAGAGTTAAATAAAATAACGATAAATTAATTAACAACAAACAATCATTTTTATGTTATTCAATTTGCACGATAACCATTCAATTGTTGATAACGCTCAATGTCGTATTCAATGCGTTTACATAACTCACGCACATGTGCCCAGGACTAGACATATCTTCTAACTTAGTTTTAATACCAAATTATTATCTTAATTTAATTTCATTATTTATAATCCTATGCACGCAACCGCTAATACTACTTCAAAGGAGAGCATAGGTTACCAACTAGTTAATAGTGGAAGTACAATCAATAAATAACTAAAAAGATGTAAATAAATACCTATAATTCACTCAGTACTCTCTGGACACCATCATTCATGGCCTTAAGCCCAAGGACTATGAATAACAATCAGTTCAGAGTCCTCAAACTACTGCACTTAGCTTCAACTGGACCCAATATCACACCCAAAGTCTAGTGGCTCCCCTATTAAACTCAATATCCCTCCAAGAAAATCAGTGAACCGGATTTAATTGGATACTATGATATTTATATTTAGACTCTTTAATATTTTTTTTTCTTAAATTTTTATTTTATCCTACGTGATTTTTTAAAATGTATAATTGCTATTATCTAATTACTGAGATTATTAATTCGATTTAGTTTATTATTTAGTGTTTGATTTCTTTAATTATAATTTTTATTCTTTTCAATTAACTCAAAAACTTTAATTTATTTCATTTTATTGTCCTTTAACTATTTTGTTTAAATTGTTAAATTATGCATTGCTGGCATTCTGGAAAAGCCTAGTCGAGCGCCTCACATGACCTACGCAGTAATTGCTCAATAGCTTTATGCCAGAGATGTTTTCCAACACTTCCGATTGCTCAGAAATCATCCCATTGAGCGTATTAGCACGACAAAATCATGTCTGCCCAACAGAAGTGACATGTTGATGCTTGGCACGCGTGACAGAAGCTATTTGGCTTTTATCTTTGTTCTCTTTTCCCTTGTGTTCCCCTAATTAGCATGTACTCATTTGTCATTATTCATTCCTTGATCACCAACATTTAGAATCATTCAAATATCACCAAAATGCACTATTTAAAACATTCATATACTCACACACATCATCCATTTTAAAACACCATTTGTTTTTTATTTTTAAAGGTTTTACTGAACAGATGCATACTATAAATCCATATTTGTATTGACCAAAATTAATACCCATCTTACATTGAATACGCAGGAGATATAAGCTGAAACAACACAAGGAAAGAGTGGTTTGAAGTTTTGAAGATAATTCGGTAACTGTTGCAGAATTTACAGTTAGTTTTTTGTTATTGTCAGGATTCAAGCTCGTTTAACTAGCCCCCAGCAGTCCACTAACAATCTAACAATTTATTAACTAAGAAGAACTAGGATAGAAAATAGATTTAGAAGCGAATAACAACCAAAAACCCGATTCTTACCTACAACCCGTGACAGCAGATAGAACAGCAATAAAGGAGGGAAGTTGCTGCAGATTTTGGGCTCTAAAATCTTCATGAAAGGTGTATAAATATTCTGGAAGCCAAAAGGAACTAACTCGAAGGGAAGAAGGCTTACCTAGCTCGGAGCAGAAGGAAATTCCTTCCACAAATACACCAGAATTCCTTCTTGGCACCAGCACACACTCACAATCTGTTTTTAAACTTCCTTCCTCACCAACACTCTCGGATTTCACTTTGCTTTTCAAATTTTAGTTCAAATAAAGTGAGGAAGAAGAAGCAGAGAAGAAATCAACTTTTAAAGGAAATTTGAGGGTCAATCTTGGTTGTCCAAGACCATGCATTCCTTGGCCATTGATGCCAAGAGTGGCCGACAGCCCAAGGAAAATCAAGGAGCAGTGTTTACCTTCTGCCCAGTAGTTGACTCTCCTACTAGGTGGCCAATTATTCACCACATGTTAAAGGTGAATGGAGTCCATATGCAGACTACCTAACCCCACTCTCAGAGTAAGCAAACAGTCCAATTCTTAGAATTTAAATTCATTTTATTTTAAAATAAGGAATTTATTCATTTTAAATTATTAATTCAAAATAAATCACATTAAGTAAAAAACCATGGAAATTAAATTACTAAAATACCTCATTTTATTAGAGAGGGATTTACTGTAGTATACAGCTGGTTGTTACACTAGGAGTGGCTATTTATACCATCCATAGTTTATATCAATCATTCTATTCATTAGCACTTTCACCAAAAAATTTTAAATCTCCAATATCAAATAAATAGTTGTAAAATTTTGAATTAATGATAAACATACATCTTTCAAAATAAATATGATAAAGGAATCAATCTTGGGAAAAAATTGTTTGATATAAAGAATTTCCACGAAAGTTATTACCTACATATCAACTCTTTGCACTTCTCCTTGATAAACATAAATCTAAACAATTTTGATCTATTGCTTTTTTTTTTTTTATCATATTTTATCATTTGAATAATATTTCTAGTATATTTTTAATAATCTCTCAATTAATATTTTTCTTACACCAATACTTCTGTAACTTCATAATAGTGATTAAGAATTTTAATTATTGAGACTTATCAAATTTTAACCTAGAATCTGTTTTTCAATTATTACTATAGGTGCTATTTGCCATGTACTTTTATTTGGTAAATATTAACTATTTATAGTTGAATAATTTATTTGTTAACATAACGTTAACTAGATATACAACTTCATTTATTGTCCCTTGTTATTGTTTCTTAAAAGTAAATTCTTTCCCCAATTTACATTATATATGAATACTTCATGCAAAGCCTTGTCTTTGAAATTTTCACAGTTTCATATGCATGCATGACCTAATTAAGTGACTTTTATTTGAAATTTATGTGAATATCATCTAATTACCTTATCTGTCCAAAAAAATTCTTTTTGCCATACAATCAATGCACATAAATATCCACAAATAAGAAAGTATAGATAATTATAAAATATTATAGTATTATGAAGCACAATTCATGATACACTCGTCAAACCCTAAAAGTTATTTTCAAGAAAAGACTCATGTGATTCTTCATTTCCTTTTTTCTTTAGAATATACTTTATTTCTCTATTTAAATTATATATAAATATACTTATTTTGCAGGTAATATACATAACCTTGTATTGTACATGTGCTTGTTTATGTATTCATGCTCACATTAATTAAGTAAATTTTATTTCAAATTTATACATGTTCTGTTTGATTAAGTAATTATAAAAATAAAAAATTTCTTCTATAGTCAATAAATAAACATATTCAAGAACTATAAATGATAAGTACAACTAAACGAATTACTTTAAAAAAAAGCCCATTTAAGGCTCACTAAATAGTAAAATTCATGTTGAAGAAAAAATTCAAGTAATTTTTATTTTTTTCTTACATTTAGAATATTTTCATATCTAATTTATAAGAAGATATAATAGTTTAACAATTAATCTAATTAGCTTCTATATCTATTTACTCTTGATCTGTCTCAATTCTCATAAAATATTTTTTTTAAAATTAATCTTAAGGTCGAATATTGATAGAAAGTATATAAACTCCCTCATATTACCATTGACCCTCCCACATTATGCTGAGGAAAATATTTCATTAACAAAATTAAGAATCATCCTAGAATTAATAGCCATTGCCCATATTCCAAAAAATTACCTGCAACTCAAAAACATCCTTTCACAAGATTGAAAAAAAATAGAGAGATTGAATGAGAAATTTAATTCTTCCTTGACATTGATTAGAAAAGCTTTCTCAAAGTAAACTTTAAAAGTGTATCTTAAATTTACCTTTTTTGATGAAATTTACTAGCTTATTTGCCATTAAAGGAGAACATAAAGAATTTTATACCTCATAGATAAACTAAGATTATTAGGATGCTACTCATAATAACAAGTATTCTTTTGCTAGATCTTTAAGAAAAACTTAATAAATCTGTCAATGAAAAAAAGTTTAAAATTCTTAAGTCATGAAAATTTTTAATATTTTGAAATAAATGTATATCAGTCAGTGCATGCTTTCATCTATTTAGCTTAGAAAAAACTCTTAATGAATTCTTTATGAATTCAACGTATCAGTGTAAAATAAATCTATATTTTATAAAATATGAAAAAGGACTATAAAAAGAAATAAGTAACTGAATTAAATGTTATAATTATTTTAAGATTATAATATACATTTACATTGAGATATATATAAATACCAAATTTAAATATACATATATATATATATGTGTGTGTATATAAAGGGATAATTTAGGGAATAAATTAGTGGATAAAAAAAAAGAGAAAGAGAGGAAAAGAGAAGGTAGGAATCTAGGTGTAATGCTTGTTGTCTAGTATATATATGGATACACTTATATGTTATTATATACATATATTTAGTTATACAAGATATATAGATATATAGTGCTGCAAACTGAAAGAAGAAGAAAAGAGTTTGCTGAATCATTACCAATATATATATATTACTATATAAACACATATGCAACAAGATATGTATATATATAGAAGATACATATGCATATGTATAACTATATATCTATACATATATGCATACAGGTGAGAATTAAACAAAGAAAAATTAGACCTCACCGTTTAAGCTTATAGACAAGAACGAGCCACCAAATGAATTGCTAAGGAACCGGCCAGATGTACAGATTATTTACCTTCAAAGATCACCTTCAATCGGCCACCTCAACCCAGAAACTTCTATGAAGCTCTGTTATGCATGAATGAGTCGGTTTCAATTTCAAAAGTTTCTTTCATACATTTCCTCCTTCTAAATCAAGATATCCTTCTCATCATAAAACTTTAGCTTAGTTAATCAGTGAGTGGGAAGTAGTTTGAAAGCAAAAAACTGAAGAGAGAGAGAGAAAGCTAGAGAGAGAAACCACGCACCCAAAACAGAGCATCCGTTCGGGGTGCGTGACAGAAACGGATTTTCATCCTTCAGGCTAAGGTAGGTTGATTTTGCTTCTTCCAGATTGTCTTCCTCACTTCCTTAGATGTTTATGATAACTTATATACGTTACCCAATGACCGAAATTACAGCAGCAAGTTTCAAAAGTTGAAATTTTGCTACTGCATCTGAACAACACCCCTATTCAGTTAGGTGTTTGTTTTTCGTTTAAATTCCTTTCTAATTTGTGCTTTCCTTCCCAAAATCTTGTAGTTAGATGTTGGAATAACAAGTTAGGAGTGTTAGGAAATTATTTCTCAGTTAAACGAATCATAAACGTGAAGATTAATCAAAACTCTCACCATACTTTGTTTTAATTACCGTATGTTGCAGAGGAGAGTTTTTGAAATTTCCACCATTCCTTCATGCAACATTTGCTTCTGTTTCGCGTATACATCAGGTAAGATAGACTGAAATCTTGTTGATGCATGATATGTAATTTTTAGATGTTTTAAATAAAATGTTTTCGTGAACTAATCCTGCTGTGTGCGTGTGTGAAAGGAAAAATGAGTGTGTGTGTGTGTTATAATCTGGTTTTCATGAATTTAAAATAGTTTAATTCGAAAGTTATTCAACATTATTAGTGTGGTAATCGGAGACAATGTTTGGAAAGCAAAAGAAAGAAGATCAATTTAAGGAAATGAGCCAAACCTAAACAAAATAACTAAAGGACAATAAAATAAAATAAATTAAAATATTTGAGTTAATTGAAAAGAATAAAAATTATAATTAAAGAAATCAAACACTAAATAATAAACTAAATGGAATTAATAGTATAAGTAATTAGATAATAGTAATTATACATTTTAGAAAATCACATAGGATAAAATAAAAATTTAAGAAAAAAATACTAAAGACTCTAAACACAAATAACACAGTATCCAACTAAATTTGGTTCACTGATTTCTTTGAAGGGGTATTAAGGTTAATAAGGGACCACTAAACTTTTGAATGTGATATAGGGTTCTACTTGGAGCCAAGTTCAATGGTCTGAGCACTCTGAACTGATTACTATTCATAGTACTAGGACTCAAGGGTATGAATGATGGCGACCAAAATAAAATTTATGGGATGATATCCAGCGAATACTAAGTGAATTATATATATTTATTTACGTCTTTTTAGTTATTTATTGATTGCGCTTTCACCCTTAACTAGTCGATGACCTGTGCTCTCTTTGGAAATAGTTTTAAAGGCTGGATTGTAAATAGTGAAATTAAAATTAAGATAATAATTTGGTATTAAAACTGAGTTAGAAGATATGTCTAGTCATTGGTGCATGTGTGTTAGTTATGTAAATGCATTGAATACGATATTAAGCGTTATTGATAATTGAATGGTTATCGTGCAAATTGAATAGCATGGAAATGATTGTTTATTGTTAAATAATTCATCACTAGTTTACCTAACTCTACATTAAGGAACTATTTTCAAAGCATGTTTGAGCTTTAATATTGCCTATCTTACTGAGTATTGGAACTCACCCAAATCCAACCCCTCATAGATGCAGATTCTGATGAGTTGTTGAAGACCCTTGCTTAGATTCTTTAGAAGAGGATTAGTTATGAGAGCAGACTTGTGTATTTTATTTAAACACTTTAAAGGGTAGTATATTTTGTATAAGTTCTCTTTTGAATTGTATATATGTGTAGATAGCCTAATGCCTCAGTGTACAGCTTTTATATTTTATGTTGGGATGTAAAATTCCCGTTGCCATGTTTATTTTATCTTTTATGTATACTCTATCGAATGTTGGTGCTCCGTTTGGCATCAAGACATCACACCTAGTTTGCATTTAAAAATAACATGAAACTTTTAAATTCTCTTCCAATAGAAAATAAGCTAGTTGAATTGATTATTAAAGAAAAAGGTCTAGAGACGTCCTTTTCAAAATTTACTTTTAG